ATTCATGACAATCCCATGAGTATCAAGAGTAGAACTATGCTTTATAAGGTTTTATTTTAAATTTTTATTGTAATTTAGGTTAAAGTTTACAGAGCAAATTCATTTTCCATTCAATATAGGGTTTTAAATGGCTGACTTTTCAGAAGTAGATCCCCAGACCTTTCTTGGGGCACATATGGGTGGACATGAACCCCCAACTTTTTGGTTGGCAGCTGAGTGTGTTAACCATTTGTAAAATTCAAGGATGCCACATATATATATACATGTTGTTGTTAGCTGCTGTAGAGACAGCTGACTCATTTTGACCTTATTTATAATAGAACAAAGTGTTGCCCATCTAAGATGCAACAATTGGTCTCCCAGAGCAAATAAGAGTGAAGAAAATCAAAGACACATGGAAACAATTAGTCCAAGGGACTAGTGCACTGGGGGAACTTCAGCCTACATGAATCTGAGACCAGAAGAACTAGGTGGTGCCTGGCTATCACTGCCAACCATTTGGAAAGGGATCAAAATTGAAGTTCCTGGATAGAGTGGGAGAAAAATGTGGAACAAAATTCAAATTCATAAAAAAGAACAGGCTTACTGGTCTGATAGGGACTGGTGAAACTCCAAGACTGTGGCCCATAGTCTTCCTTCAGGCCTGGAATTGAACTCACTCCCATGGCTAACTTCTAGCCAAACAACGGACAGGTCTATGAGGTGAACAGTTATACAAGGGAAGTGCACTCCTTAGAAAAATCAACTATGGGAGCTCAGAACAGTAGCATTTGAGCAGGGATAAAGGTCAGAAGGCAGGAATGCACAGGAAAGAACACGGGAAAAGGAGAGCACAGGAAAAAGTGAGAAAGGAGCTCTTATATGAGGGGATTCCAATAAATGTCACGAAACAGAATATGTATGAACTGTTGAATGGAAAACGAATTATCTCTGTAAACTTTCACCCAACTCACAGTGAAAAATAAAATAAAATAAGAGAACACAACATTGCCTAGCCCTGCACCATCTTCATGATCTTTGATATGTTGAGTCCACTGGTGAGGCTACTGTGTCTCTCCATCTCAGTGTCCCTCATTTTCACTGAACCTCTAGTTTACCAACCATGATGTCCTTTTCTAGGAATTGGTCTTTCCTTATGATATGTCCAAAGTAAGCAAGTCCAAGTGTCACCATCTCAATTCTAAGGAGCATTCAAGTTCTCTGGTAGCATAGTGCCTAAGGCACTTGACTGCTAACCAGAAGGCTGACGGTCCAAAACCACCAGCCACTCCTCAGAAGGAAGACTGGGTAATCTACTTCCATAGTGATACCTCCTCGGAAACCCAGGGAGGGGTCGCTATGAGCCGGGTCCGACTCAATGGCACATAACAACAACAAACAATCTTATATATGTGTGTGTGTATTATGTATGTGTTTATATATATATGTGTGTGTGTATGTATAGACACCATTTCTAGTGGTCTCTATTCTTTATGACCAACTGAGTTGCCATCTGGCATCATTTCCCATTTCCTTTCAACCTGAAGTATTTTTTGTAGTGCAGGTCAGCAGATAATAAATTATCTCCAATTTCAGTTATCTTTCATTTGCCTTTGTTTATTATTTCTCAGGTTGACAGTTTTTTCTCTCACTTTCAAGTATGTCATTCTAAAATCTTCCGGCCTCCCATTATTTCTGGTGAGAAGTCAAATTGTCTTCTTGTTCCTCTGGCTATAAGGTGTCTTTTTCTCTGGCTGGTTTCAAGATTCTGTCTCTGACTTTTGGAAGTTTGACTGTGGAGTGCCTACTACTGGAAGGCTGGTGTGTGTTTTTCTGCCTGAGATTCATTGAATTTCTTGGATACCTTCCAATTACAGTTTTCAAGAATAATCTCTCCTCCAGCATCTATTTGCTTTAGTAACTTTCCAGTGCCTTTAAAAAGTTGTTGTTTATATTTTGTATGGATTTAATAATTTCCTGTGGGAGGATTTACGCAACCACTTCATTTTACCACCATTACTTTAAGTTCTCTCTTACTATCCAATTGTATCCAGTTAAATACTCAAATCTCATATTCACAAAAATAAATTCTATACACCTACTCCTCACTTATTGACTATCCCATTATCTGGCATTTCATATATATGACAATAGTTAAAAGTCTACTATCTGACTATTTTGCACATTAATCAACTACTTGTGGCGTAATGACCATACAAGGTGCTAGGTGAGAGTAATGCAATGGTTATATATCAACTGGGTGATGATTCTTAGTGGTTTGGCAGTTATGTGCTGATGTAACTTGGCAGTTATGTAATGATGTAGTGCCCCTCCATTTTGTGATCTGATGTACTCATCCTCCATTTTTACATAATGCTGATTTTTGCTTAACGACCTAGTATTTAGAATCTAACCATGTCAGTTAGTGAGGAGTGGGTGTAATCAAGGAATAATTAAAAGTTATTTTATCTATTACCAGGGGGTTTACCCAGCATTAGGATTTTGAGAGTAATGAAGAGGTAAAAGCTAAAATGCAGTGTACAAAAATGTATTTGACTATTTTGTTAATAAATATTTTTTCCTTGTGATGTTTGAAAGTTTGGGTCTGATGGTTTTTTTTTTGTTGTTGTTGTTGTTGTTTCTTGGGAAGGGGCTCTTTCTGTTGCTAGTAGTGAGAATGTCTTGTATGCTTTGTGACTGTAGCAGGTATCATATGAGGATTAGCATATTGGATGTAAATGATCACTGAGCACATTTCTGACAAGTGTTCTTGAAGAGTGAAGATAAGCATTTGTTTGGGGTTTCTAACTGTATTGTAAGAACTATAAATGTGAAAGAAATTAGTGGCTATTTTGCACTTTGATAAATTCCAAGCTGTATCCTCAGTGAGTGCTGTTTCAGGATAAGGGTTATTAGGTTGGAGGGAGAAGAGAAAAAAGGAAACCCATAGTGAAGCATCTAGAAGCTATCAAATGAAGGAGAGGCTAAACCATCCCAGAAATCATATATGAATGCCTAATCAGGAGTTTTCTGTTTTTTGTGTTTTTTTTACTATTTTTACTTTTCTTTGCTATCTTTGGCCCTGTAGCGATTATAGGTCAGCCATACCACTTGTGTATAGATTCATGATATTATACACCATGTCACACAATGAACACTTTACTGGGAGAAAAGGATTTAGTTTGGGTAAAACTAAGAACTGGGGTTTTTTGTTTGTTCTTTTCCTTTGTGGAAGGAAAAAGGAGTGGAATATATGAAGAAAATTGTTGAATCTCCATGTCCCAAAGCAAGACACTTAAAATTTGCAGCTGCTTATAACCTTGGAAGAGCTTATTACGAAGGAAAAGGCGTTAAACGATCAGATGAGGAAGCAGAAAGGTAATCTTACCTGAGGAGAAGGCTTTATTTGGATGAAATGCCAAAACAAAAAAAAAACTTGTCTTTGCCTTTTTATTTTTTTTAGACTGTGGCTTTTTGCTGCAGACAATGGAAATCCAAAAGCTAGTGTGAAGGCACAAAGTATCCTGGGATTATATTACTCAACAAAAGAGCCTAAAGAGTTAGAAAAGGTAACATTTATTTTATTTTAATGCTAGTGTTATGTTTATGCTTCACTATTTCTTTTTTGAAAGGAGGGTGATGAGGAATAAGTGTCTCATTTTGAATATCATATTTCTCTGAAATGTAAAGAAAATTTACATTGTAGAATCTCTAAGCTCATTTCACATCCTTTTACCAACAAGCTGCCTTCAAGTTGATTCTGATTCACGGTGAACCCATGTGTGTCAGTGTAGAACTGTGCTCCATAGTGTTTGTTCAATTGCTGATATTCTGGAAGTAGATCTTTGGTCTTTCTTCTAGAGATACTTCTAGGTAGGCTCAAACCTCCAACCATTAGGTTAGTAGCCTAGTTAACTGTTTGCACCAGCCAGAGGTTCATACCCTTTATTCATCTACAAATACTACCTACCCTTTATTCATCTACAAATACTACCTTCCCTGTGCCCTCCAAAGTAAACTATGGCTGAGTAAATATTTTGTATTTACTACACATAAATATAAAAATCTACACATACATTATTGCACCATAAAACCTCGAGGGAGAGCCTTGAAATTAAAGCCCAAATCCTTCAAATTAATAAATGTATTCAATAAATAAATATTATATTTGATTTGAAGAATAAACAATCTAGTAAGTAAACTATACTACTTTTAAAATTAAACTCACCAAAGCTTTTTAACAGAAATGAACCTCATTAATTATTAGCGATTGAAGCATTTTGGGTTGAGTCCTACTTGTAAGAGAGGAGTTAATGGAAAATTTAAGAGGCATATAACAAAGAGCACCCTCAGGCAACTGAGAAGTCACCTGGAAATAATTTTTGAATCCACATTCACTATAGCTGAGTATTAAACAAATGTGCTTGATGCTACAGATACATTTTATCCTCTGTCTCCTTTAGTCTTGACAGCTGCCATCTCTGAGATCCCCTTTTAGATCTTCCCTTATCTCTGTGCCTCATTACAGGTCTGTCTCAGTCTTTCACATACTTAGTTCCTATTTTGCATGCCTTCTTGGGTTTCTGAGGCAGTACCACTACAGAAGTAGATTGCTCAACCTTCCTTCTGAGGAGTGACTGGTGGGTTTCAACCGCCAGCCTTCTGGTTAGCAGTCAAGTGCCTTAGGCACTACGCCTCCAGAGTTCTTTGGAAAATCAGAAAATCTTGCAATGTGGGACAGTTGATGCTATGCCATGAACTCTCAGGTGGGGTGTCTGGACTCTTGACATCACCCGCTCTGTTGGGGGAGACAAGAGAGGGGCTCACCTTAGCGCTCACTTTAGGTATGTGGATTTGGCACCATCCTAAAAGGCATTTTCAAGGTGTTAAAACTATTTCCAAAAGAATAGTATTTACCTTACAATTAGAGACTATTTTTCTTCCTAGTATTCCCTTATCATTTCATTTTGTGAATAAAATGATGAAACTGTGCTCTTCTTAGGCATTTTATTGGCATTCCGAAGCATGTGGCAATGGAAATCTGGAATCTCAAGGTGCACTTGGTCTCATGTACTTTTATGGACATGGCATCCGCCAGGATACTGAAGCAGCTCTGCATTGCTTAAGGGAAGCAGCTGAACGTGGCAACGTCTATGCTCAAGGGAATCTTGTGGAGTATTACTATAAGATGAAATTTTTCACAAAATGTGTGACATTTTCCAAAAGGTAAATAAACTGGATGAAGGTATTTTCAGGAACTCTTAATACATCTGTTTGATAGAACTTTCTGCAGTGTTGGAAATGTGGCTAGTGACACTAAAGAACTGAGCTTTTAAATTTTGTTTACTTAAATAGTTGGATATGGCTAGCGGCTACCATATTGAATAAAACAATTTTGTATCATTAGTCTTCGGATTTCATTGCTTTTAGCTTTGTAAATCAGCTGAGTAATCTTAAGTACTTTTATTAATTTTGAGCATCAATCACTTTATTTGTAAGAAGAAAATATTTCTACTGCAGGGTTATAAAAATAATGTATATAAAGTACTTAATACAACTTGGCACACCATACGTTCATTAAATAATCTTTTAATTTCTTTTTATATTCTCCAGCCACAGAGCCAATCATTGCAATTAAATACAGTTTGACATGGGATGTAAAATAGAATGGTTAAAAAATCTTGACACTAATAACTTATAAAATGTATCGAATCGTCTTGTCTCTGATCCCTTACATTTCCATGTACTTTCCTACATTTATTTGCTTACACAATTTCTGGACACATCATTTTGTACAAAGGAGATAATACTGATATCCCATGAAATTTCAATTTAACATCTCCAACAGGATTGCTGATTATGATGAGGTTCATGACATCCCCACAATAGCCCAGGTCACAGACTGTCTCCCGGAATTCATCATCAGAGGCATGGCCATGGCGTCTTTCTACTATGCACGATGTCTTCAGCTTGGCTTGGGTATTACCAAGGATGAAGCAACAGCCAAACATTATTATTCTAAAGTAAGCTTTAGAAAAATGACTCAGATAGAACTTACTGGACTTGTAGATGACATCTGAACATCTTTATGGAGTAATGTTTTTAATTACTGTGCAGATAACCTGTCTACAGGGAGGCTGTCAGACTTGCAGATTACTTGCAGACAATTCTGGCAGATTCTCATTAGCATAATTAAGCTTAGATGGTAAAAGTCCTATATTGATGCAAATTATTTACTTTAGTACACTGTCAGCAGCCTAACGCCCAGCACCAAGATCCTAAAAGCCAAACGTTCACATCTTCTGTTACACAGAAAAACCTTGAACCTTCTCTTCATTCTAGAACCTTAATGAAATGTGGTTTTAAGAAGCTGTTTATGTATGGCATCTACCACACTTTAGGTTACTAGTGAGTTTAAGGTAATCAGTTAAAATAAGTCTTTTCATGTTGTAATCCATATGATCACTTTATTTAGATCTGAAATGGATTTTGCATCTGAAATAAGGCAACTATTAGGGGAGGACAGGGAGAAAGTCATTATGAATAGTAACTGTAAGTTAAAACAAACAATTACATGGCTTAGGTATGGGGCATCTATAAAGCCCAAATTAGAATTACATCATGATAAAATAAGTACAAATTCTTCAGCGTGAGCAGGGGAACAATTTTCTAAGTCCCTTGCCTAAATCTGATCATATTATGGCAGTGGTCCCCAAATTTATCTGAATACTAAAATCACCAGATGATCTTATAAAAATTCCAAAGCCCGGGTCTTGTTTCAGAATAATCAAATTATGATCTCAGAGAGAAGACAGAAGCATGTTTTCAAGCTCCCAGGGAATTCCAATGTGCAAGCAAGTCTGGAAACCACTGAATTACAGTATTTTGGTTGAAATTAAAATGTCCACAGGATCAAATCCGTATTAACAGAAATACAGGCACATATTACACAAGCAAATACAACTTGCATTTACCATTACTTCACATTCTATCAGTATAGAAAATAACTATTTTTCTTAAACCTCAATATTCTCTGCATTATGCCAATTTTCAAATAAATTTCAGTATCTACATTGTCATTGGTACCCTTTCTAAATAAGAAAAAACTCTGGGTCAAAACCATTCTTAAATGTGGTATATATTCAACTGAATGAAGCAGAAAAAAGAATGTAACCTTAGCACTATTGTTCCAGATGATGGGAGGCAATATCCTCATTACTCTGCAAGGATTAAGTTCACATCTAGAACACTGTACTCAATTTTGGCCATTCCATTTTATGAGAGAGAGTGATAAAATGGAGAATATATAAAGATGGTAAACCAGTGAAGGGTCTGGAATTCATACCATATGAGGCATGACAGAAAAAAATGAGTGTTTCAGAAATAAGGGATATGAGAGGGTCATGAAAGTGGTCTTCACCAGATTCAAAGACGGTTCTATAAAAGGAATTGCTGAGAAGGGAGCAGAATTAGAGCCAACAGCAGTGTGTTACAGAAAAAAATAAGGCAGTAGGACAGTAGACAGACAGTGGACCTGAAGGCAGAAGACCCATGCCTGACCTCAGCCCTGCCACAGTCTGGGTGACAATGCCAACTACTTTGCCTCTTAGGGTCTCTATGAGACCAGAACTGTATGTTTTCCTAGGACTCTTCAATTATTCTAAAGTACATGAAGGAAAATTTCTTCTCAATATAGTGTCTTCTAACACAACTGTTCACAAAACGGTTTTCCTTTAGGAGGTGACTCCCTGCCACTGGAACCAACTGTCATGATACTGAAGAAGGGTTGCACTTTGTGTAGGGAGTGGGATTTGGACAAGAGAACTTCTGATGTCTCTTCCAAAATCTTGACACTATGAAATTATGCACCTTATCACTATTTACTGGAGTAATTATAAATACTAACTATTATAGGAGCTCTGGTAGCATAGTGCCTAAAGCACTTGATTGCTAACCAGAAGGCTGGCGGTTCAAACCCACCAGCCACTCCTCGGAAGGAAGGTTGGGCAATCCTACTTCCGTAGTGATACTGCCTCGGAAACCCAAGGAGGGGTTGCTATGAGTTGGGGTCGACTCGATGGCAAACAACAACAACAAAAAATTTAAATTTAGCTTATTCTTTCCTAGGAAATCAGAAATGTACCTTAAGAAGCTCCCTTAAAAATCTTCTACTTCACTACTCTTTTAAAAAAAAAGGAAAAAGAAAAACCAACAATTTACACTGTATCTAAATAACTCAATGTTTTCATTTTGACTTTCAGGCTTGTCGGCTGAGTCCTGCATTGGCAGATGAACTTCACTCTTTACTTATTCTTCAAAGAATTTAGATCACAATGCCTATCAACATCGATCATCAATATTAACATCATACAATGTGTGTATTTTTATGGTAGCTGAGTTTGGCTATTTTCTGCATCAGCAGTTACATTGTCCTGGGTATTTTACTGACGACATTCTCACCTTTGTTCTTGAATCTGTGTACTGTAATTTTTACAACTTGACACCTAGCCACAGGGTCAAATTCCTGAAAGAATCCTCAGAGACTCACCTCATAAGACTATAGACTGGCATAGACCACATCAAATATTAAAAAGCATTCTGTAGAATGAGTACCTATTTCTTTTCTTAAATATAGTGTTCCAAAAGACTAAGTGCAATTTTAGCTTTAATAACTTAAGAAATACAAATGCTACTCACTCATAAAAGGTATCATTTGAAAGTTTAATTCCTTAAATTTCCTTGACTCTTGTGAATTTTAAATTTAGAAATTTTAAATGACTGAAACAAAAATTAAAAGTAAACATTGACTATTCCAATGTTTGGATGTTCCCCTCCTGTTGTTGTTAGGTACTGTCAAGTCAGTTCTGACTCATAGTGACTCTTAGTACAACAGAAAGAAACACTGCCCAGTCCTGAACTGTGCACACAGTTGTTGCTATTTGTCAAATGTGATGTCCTTCTCTGAGGACTAGTCCCTCCTGATAACATGTCCAAAGTACGTGATTTGTAGTTTCCCCATCCTAGCTTCTAAGGAGCATTCCAGCTGTACTTCTTCCAAGACAGATTTGTTCATTCTTCTGGCAGTCCATTTCAATATCTTCCAGCACCATAATTCAAAGGCAGTAATTCTTTGGTCTTCCTTATTTATTGTCCACCTTTCATATACGTATAAAACAGAAAACTAAGCCCACTGCCATTGAGTTGATTTTGATTTACAGCAAGCCTGTATGTATAAGGCAATTGAAAATACCATGGCTTGGGTTCAGGCATACATTAGTCCTCGAAATGACTTCTTTGCCTTTAACATTGTAAAGAGGTCTTTTGCAGCAGATTTGCCCAATGAAATACATCCTTTGATTTCCTGATTTCTTGACTTCACAAGTGTTGATTGTAGATCCAAGTAAAATGAAATCCTCGACAATTCAATCTTTTCTCTGTTTATCATGATGGTGCTTCTTGGTCTAGTGAGATTTTTATTTTATGTTGAAGTATAATCCATAATGAAGACTGTAGTCTTTGATTTCACCAGTAAGTGCTTCAAGTCTTCTTTTCTTTTAGCAAGAAAGTTGTGTGATCTGCATATTGCAGGCTGTTAACACGTCTTTCTCCAATCTTGATGCCACGTTCTTCTTCATAGAGTCCAACATCTCAGATTTGCTCAGCATACAGATTGTATAAATATGGTGAAAAGATACAACCTTGACACACCTTTCCTGATTTTAAACCATGCAGTACCCTCTTGTTCTGTTCAAACAACTGCCTCTTGGTTTATGTACAGGTTCCACATAAAGCATAACTAAGTGTTCTGGAATGCCCATTCTTTACAATGTTATTCATGGTTTTACAATGCATACAAATGCCTTTGCATAATCAATAAAACACAGGTAAACATCTTTCTGGTATTCTCTGCTTTCAGCTGAGATCCATTTGACATCAGCAGTGATATCCTTTGTTCGACATCCTCTTCTGAATTGAGCTTGAGTTTCTGGTAGTTCCCTGCCAATGTACTGCTGGAACCATTTTTAGTATCTTCAGCAAAACTTTAACTTGTGTGTGATATTAATGGTATTATTTGATAATTCCTGCATTCTGTTGGATCACTTTTCTTTGGAATGGGCACATATATGGATTTCTTCCTGTTAGCCAAGTAGCTATATTCCAAATTTATTGGCATAGATGACTTAGCACTTCCAGCATTGCAGCTATTTGTTGAAACATCTCAATTGGTATTCTGTCAATTCTTGAAGCTTTGTTTTTCACCAATTCCTTCAATACAGCTGGGACTGCTTCCTTCAGTACCATTGATACTTGATCATATGCTACCTCTTGAAATGGCTGAACACTGACCAATTCTTTTTGGTACAGTAATTGTGTATTCCTTCCATTATCTTTTGATGCTTCCTGCATCATTCAATATTTTGTCCATAGAATCCTTCAATATTGCAGCTTGAGGCTTGAATTTTTCCTTCATTTCTCTCAGCTTGAGAAATAACAAGTGTGTTCTCCCTCAAATATCTTAATTTAATGAGTAAAATACTTTCTATATTTTTGATGAATATTCATAATTTAAACATTTGTGTTTCAACCTATTTTTATATGTTTAAAGTCTTAAATGTATTTCAAAATAAAATGTGAAAAAACCTCAATGAGTTTAAATAAATACGGCTGAAAAATTAGCAAGAGACTCCTTTACATTACATTAGTGACATGTATGAAGGCAAAAAGGAGTTCTGGTGGAGTCAAGGCACTTAGCTCCTGGCCCAAAGGTCAGTGGTTCAAACCCACCAGATGGTCTGAGGGAGAAAGATGAGCCATTCTACTTCCATAAAGATTTACAGCCTTGGAAATATATATATTCCAAGGGATATATATCTGTGCCTAGGGCAACTGACTGCTAACCAGAAGGCTGGTGGTTCAAACCCACCAGCCACTCCTCAGAAGGAAGACTGGGCAATCTATTTCTGTAGTGATACTGCCTTGGAAACCCAAGGAGGAGTCGCTATGAGTCAAGTCCAACTTTATGGCACATAAAACAACATATATCTGTGAAACAAATATACTGAAAATCATAAATCTTAAGATGACTTAGTGATACCTTAGCTAAATCTTCTTTGCAAAAATACTAATGTGGCTTTATTTTGTAAATTACAACAGTTCTTTCCAAAATTGGATTTAAACAAGATCTATTATTATCTTAGTAGTGGGAAAATACAAGTGATATGCATGTGCCAGTCACTAAAGAACTATTGGAAGGCAGAAAATTAGTGTTCCTGTTTGAAGTTCTGGTGTGTCTTTATTATTCAAACTTCATTTTATCTTTCTATAAAGGGAAGAAACTTCAACAGACTTAGGTCTGTAAGACACCCTCAAATACACTTCTCTCTTACCAAAACCAAACCAAATTCACTACCATCAAGTCAATTCCAACTTATAGTGACCCACCATTGGGTTTCCAAGGCTGTAAATCTTTATGGAAGCAAACTGCCCCATCTTTCTTCCATGGGGCAGCTGGTAGGTTCAAAACACCAACGTTCTGATTAGCAGCCAAATACCTTAACCACTGCACCACTAAAGCTCTCTTAAAAAGTATAAACTTAAACCATCCTTGAAAACTAATCTGAGAAATTGTAAATACAGCAATGTGCCATATGTGGTAATATGCTACACCTATGTATCTTCAAGGAGTCCCTTGGTGGTGCAAATGTTTAAATGCTCAGCTACTACAGAAAGTTTGGCAGTTCAAATCCACCCAGAGGCACCTCAGAACAAAGGCTTGGTAATCTGTTTCCAAAAGATCACAGTCATTGAAAATGGTATGGAGACAGTTCTACCCTGAAACAGATGGGGTTACCATGAGTAGGAACTGACTCCACAGAAACAGGATTTTTTTTTTTTTTTTTTGGAGGGGGGTGGTTTAAATGTTTTCAAGTAAATCCAACACACAATTTCAAAGTTCAATTTACTTAGTTATCATAAAGCAGGTGCTTCTAGCACAGGCGAACCCCTGCAATTCTCCACTGCTGCAGACTGTGGTAGGCACCTTGACCCTGTGAGAGGAGTCAGTCAGTCTTTAAACTCAAGTGCATTGAAGCTTCAGATCATGATACAAATTTTCTGAAATCAAACTTCTGTAAGATCCTTTTTAGCCATTATCTCATGAAAAACTGAGAATTTATCATAACTATTGAGAAATTAAAATAATAGTTGTATCACTTGCAGTATAAATTTAACAGCTAGAGTTTAAATTATAGGATAGAAATATAGGTAAGATAGACATTTCCAGTAACTGTATTATCTTCAGTAACTGTGTTATGGTGGAATTCTTTGGGCTTAGCAACTTCACAGTGCTTTCTGTTCTCTGAATGAATTTATATAGTCCTTTCTACATTTCTATGAAGGACAGACAACTTTTATCTATATAAATAACCAACATTAAAACCAAAAACCAAACCCACTGCCATCAAGTTGATTCTGACTCATAGTGACCTCTGGTGTGTG